ATTTTTCGAAATTGCCCAATCGATTGTTCATTCGTTTGGGTTTCAAGTAATATTTGAAAAAAATACCGGAAATATTCTTTAGTTTTGTTCAGATAATTTTTATAAGAAAAAATGAATCAAGCTATTTGCAAAGATTTCTGTAATTTTTTTTTCATTTAGTCAATTTTATTAATTAAATGAGTAAATAAAAGATTTTTAGCCGTGGGAATTCATTGTTTAATTGTTGCGATACATATCCTATAAAAAAGAGATGGCCGGAAAACACCGAAATGTACGATTATCTTAAGTATTATCTACAGTATCTCCTTAGAAACGCCAATGCATGCGTGTGATGTACATAGCCACATATGTATCACATCACTGACCTGTGTACGAAGCGAAGTTCCAGTAAAAATCTTTCTCCTTAATTTTTCGTAAACCTTATATAATAAAACATATTTTCTACATTTAATAAAAGCATGATTGAAACAGTAGCAAAACGCGACGAATGCATTTAAATATCAGCAATGATTAATTCAACGGACAATATGCACATTTTAGTTGATAAATTATTCATACTTTTGATTAAAATACAAAATGAAGGTAAAGATTTCAGTGAAACGAAACATTTTCTAAATAAATGTATTGCTCTTTCTACTCGACCAACTGAAGAAATTTTTAATTGGCTTAAAGAAAATCAAAATGAACCAAAAAATGTTTTTTTTCTTGGAATTTTGTCTTATTACAGTATGCTTAACTTAAATGAAAATAATATTGAAGGATTCACTTACTTCCTAAAATCAGTTAATAGTTATCCTATTGCACAAGTATACTTAAGTAGATGTTATACTAAAGGATTTGGAGTTGAAATCAATAATGATTTAGCATTTTATTGGATGCAAAAAGTAATAGAAAATGGAAATATTTGCACTCAATTTGAATTTGGTTATTTATATTATCATGGCAAAGGAACTGATGTAAATTTAAAACAAGCATTTTATTGGTTTAAAAGAGCTGCAGAAAATGGAGTTATTAAGGCAATGTTTAATTTAGCTTTATGTTATAATAATGGTGAAGGAACAGATGTAAATTTAAAACAAGCATTTTATTGGTATCAAAAGGCTGCTAAAAACGGATTTAATGATGCAATGAATAATTTAGCTGTTTGTTATAAAAATGGAAAAGAAACACAAGTAAATTTAAAAAAGGCATTTTATTGGTATCAAAAAGCTGCAAAAAATGGAGATACTGGTGCAATGTATAATTTAGCAATATGTTATGAAAATGGTGAAGGAATAGATATTAATTTAGAAATGGTATTATATTGGTATCAAAAAATAATGGAAAATAAAAATATATTACAAAATCCTTATGAAAATAATATAATTGATAAAATTTCATTAATAAAAGGATTTATAATTGAATCTGAAAATGAAGCTTATAATACATGTAAGAATTGTTTTAAAAAAAGAAGACTTTTAAAAAAGGATAGTAAAATTTGTATTATTTGTTATCAATCTGAATTATTATTTAAACCAAGTGGAAATAAAATTGTTGATGAATTTATTAAAAATACACAAATTAATTTTATTCAAGAATCTAGTAGAATGAAATTTATTCCTTATAATCAATTTCAAAATATAGAAATTATTGGTGAAGGAGGATTTAGTAAAGTTTATAAAGCTATTTGGAATATTGGTCCACCTTATTGGAATAAAGAAAAAGATAATTTTGAATATAATGATTTTAATATGACAGTTGCCTTAAAACAACTTAATAATTCTAAAAATATTATTTGCAAGGAATTAAATGAGGTTAGTTTAATGAGATAATACAATTTAGTATTACAATATATTATTAATTTAAATACTTTACAAATTTAGCTTTTTATAATTTATTCTATTGATTTAAATAAAGGATATTTCCAATCTTTATTTTATTTAAATAGATATTATGGAATTACTCAAAATCCATATACAAAAGATTTTGTTATAATTATGAAATATTACAAGTATGATTTAAAACATTATATAATAGAAAACTTTTACAATCTTGAATGGAATAAAAAATTAGGCATGCTGAAGCAAATTGTAAACGGACTTATACATATTCATTATCAAAATATTATTCATCGAGATTTTCATAGTGGAAATATTCTTTGTGAAAATGAATATGATATTATAATAAGTGATTTGGGAACTAGTAAATCAACCGAATCATCAGATAATGATGACGAGTGTTATGGGATTTTGCCTTATATAGCTCCAGAGATTTTTCAAGGTCAAAAATATAAAAAATATACTAAAGCTTCAGATATATATAGCTTTGGTATGATTATGTGGGAATTAATGACTGGTAGAACACCTTTTTGGGATCAAGTCTATGATACAGATACAGAACTTATGATTCGAATTATTGATGGTGATCGTCCTCCGATTGTTACAAATGCACCTGTAGGTTATATTGAATTAATACAACAATGTTGGGATTCAGATCCAAATAATAGACCAACAGCTTTTAATATTTATCATATTATTGATGAAATCATTCTGAAAGAAGTAAAGTCGCCAACAATAATGATAATATCACCGGATATTGGACCTATCATAAAAAATGATTTAGACTGTGATGTATATAAAAGCGGTGCAATCATCTCTTTAAAATCCAATAAACATTCGAAAAGTCAAATAATTATCGGTAAATAGTATAATAAATCGTCATCATATTAAGTAATTGAATTATGACGAATCTATTAATTTATTTTTATTACTTAGATGAAAGTAGAAAATATACCAACTTAGATTCTAATAATGGTAAGTACATGATATCAAGTAAACAACAGTTTTGAATTTAACGACAAACTAATTAATTATTTAATGTGATAGGTTATGCTTCTAAAACTATTGATTTTGATATTTAATAATAAGAACTTATTATCTATCAATAAAGTCATATGGGAGGTTTGCTATTAAAATCGAGTTACGAACATAGTAAATCTTATGATCCGTAACGTGATTTTAATAGCAAACCTCCCATATATACAAGTACATTTTAGAAGTTCCATTATTTAAAGAAAGTTTGAAAAGCAAGTAGATTCGAAAGAACGTAACTTAGCTTCAAGAAAAAGTCAAGTTCCAATCAATTATTTTTTATGAATATAAGGATAACAATTAAGCGGCTCACTAAAATATTTAGAATTGACAAACAACAATTTCCTGCGGTTATATTCAAATAATTAACTTACACAAGTATACAAATTCTTTATAAGATATTCAGTGAACCTTAACAAATCTCAGCTACGAAATAATCTGATGAGCATCTTACCTAATTCGCTAATGTTTTTATTTTTTTATATTTATTCTTTGTGATACAATAAACATTCAAATTTATTTTTTTAACAAAATAATCGCGCTCACATGTTAGAAAATTAAATTTTGCATAAAAATCAGAAATCCTGACTATCAAAAAATCTTGATTTAAAAAATTAAAAAATTGCAAACAAACGATCTATATTGGTCATTTTAGATTCACTAGCGAAGTAAATTTCCGAATTCGAAAAGCCGGAAAGAGGATATTTGTGAAAATAATTTGCAAATAATAAAGTGGATAGTAATTGATTATGACAATTTCTTTTATATTTATGAACTTTTGACGTTTTGTTTGTGTTTCACAACACAAATGATCTGGCAAATAAAATTTCTTACATTTAGTTTAACTATTATAATAATTTTCAAGATATCAAACATTTAGGCTTGATTAAAAATTATTCTCGGCCTTGTTAATCAAATTAATATTAAAAAAAATTTTTTTTGTGATTCGTAACAATTCCTAAATGCAAAGTCATGCAAGTCGTAATCACTTCATTATAAAATAAATTATCATTTATAATCTATTCAATATTTGAGAAAGTTTCATAAAATGAAAATAATGTTATTAAATCAAGCATGATTCCTTATCTTTTGTAACAGCCAGTTTATGTTCACCTATCCCGGTATATCGTATACTATAAATTTCACTAATTCTAGATTCGATCGTAACGCTCACACTGAATAGAACCATCCGTTTAAAGCCTGGTCATTATCTTTTGACTTCTTGAAGTGTTTCTTGCATCTGGAAAAATTTATCAACATAAATGTGAAAAATCAATGAAGCGTGGGTAGAATAATCAACACATCCGATAATAATGTCAAGAAAATAGGACTTTCACGATTTATTATAACAATGTCGGAATATGTAGAATGAAAGTACTATAATAAATTTGATTGAGTCAAAGCGACTCTTTCCTTTAAATATTATTAACGGAATGAGTTTAATAATAAGCAAATCGAAAATTTTAGAGACGATTTCACACTCTGGGTTATTTTGTTCTGTCATCCACCTTGAAAAATTTGAAAAACGAAAAATAAGAAGTGTTCGTTACAACACGATAATACTTGATTAAATGAGTTCCTTTGTCGTACAGACTTGTCATCATATCTTTTTGAAAATGGCGTAGTCAATCTTGAAATACCATATCTCGATAATTCTTATAAATCAATCATATATACTATCGATCGATTTTACTTATAATAAATTTCTTACTAAATCGATATATTTTACGCCTCAATAACTCTTGACATTTTCTTTTTTTTTTCACTTTAACGACTCAGAGATTTTTAATTTTTATTTATAAAGATAATAAAAAGTACTAACTAAATAAAAAACAAAAATAGAACACACCCCACGTATTATATTTCAAACCGTTTGGGCACTCCGTTAGTCGTGCTCCCTTTAGTAATCCGATACAACGCATACCATAACTTAATACCTTCATCAAGTTAGCAAAGAGAAAAACAGACTTTTTATGAAAGAAAACACCAAGTGTCCTAGACATGAAAACCTAAAAGAAGAACGAAAAGTAACATCCAATCAACTATTTTAGGAAAGGGATGGGAAATGGGAAAGGAAAAAAGAAATAAAAAGCTACAAGAAAGAAAACTAACTAAAGTCTATTTTAAAAATAAACGATAACTATCTAATTTCTACCAACTCCTGGCATCCTTAACCGTAATGTCAGGGACAAGGCCATCGAATCCTACAAAGTAAGACACCTCCGCACAAAGGTCAGCACAGGTCCTGCGCAATTCATAATAATGGATTGATCGGTAGAAGACCCCCCAAAAAAACCCATAAAACGTCGCTTAATTTTATAGGAAAAAGTTAGTAAAGAAAAAAGTAATAAGTAACTTTCCGCAGGAAAAGGTTAAAGTTTGACATAGAAATCCAATCTTTTTCTTCCAATTATTAGCCTAGGCTGCTAACTTGCAAGAGGCGCAATTCTCCATTAACTTGGTATTCCTAGAATCATCATAGTGGGGGCACTACTTTCACTACAACTTCATATATGGATTATGAAAAATTTTGGAAATCACGTGTAAACACAAAAAGAGGAAGATCATGTGAAATTGCGTGAGAGTGAAGTATATCTTAAAACATCCAAGAGACTTAAGCGAGAGACAAGACGACTAACACGAGGCACCGGCCTTATAACGAAAATTTTCATTTTCTCCCAAGATTATTCGACATTCCCTACAAAGACTTACACGCATAGGGTAGACTCCCTCCACCGGGGTGTATTTAGCTATAAGACTATGTCTTGGAGGTACTGCATAATCGGTGAAAGGTCTTGGTGTTGCCAGGTGCGAGTCTTCCAAACGCAGGCCACTTTGAAGTAAAACTTCAGTGTGCGCGTTGGCTACAGCGTCAAGTTCGTTCTTCCAAAAAATCTTTATTCGAACACTAGCCAGTATTATGCGAATAAGAAAATTATTCTCCCTACTAGCCGAAGCTCCTTTGACACACAAAGTATAGGTAAACTGAAAAATGCAGATAGATTATTTAGTAATGCTCAAGGGTGCAAAGATAGCGAAGTTTTATAATAAAAAACTACTAAAAAATAAATTTTCATTTTTCTGAAAAATATGGTCGCGTGGGAAAGGAGAAAGAGTTTTTAACTCCTGACATTTTCATTCAAGTTTCTCGAAAATAATTTCCTTTGTGTAACAACTACTAAAAGAAATGAATTAATTCATTCTAAAATAAAATAATACCTGATATTGTATAAAAAAAAGTTATTTCTTTAGGATTTCAAAAAAGTGAGGTGTTAATTTTTTTAAGATTGATTGGAAGAATTTCAAGTCGTCCACGACAAACAAAAGAGCTTGTGGAATACAAGTTTTATAATATGAAAATGTATCTCAGAATCAAAAAACGATCAATTCAAAGATAGCCTCGGATGATAAATATCAAGTACTAGTACTTGAAGATGTTAAGTCATTTTAAGAAATCTGGTCGGCGATGCTAGGTGGTTCAAGAATAACAGTTATGTTATAACATCTTCTGTCGTTTATTTATATCCCATCCTCTATGACTTTTTAAAAGTCAATGATAAGTAAGAATTTCAAGTGATGGTACTCCTATAAGAATTAATAATTGTTTATTCCTTGTCAATATTTATTTGATTTTTTGTTTATTTTTTGAAAGTTCTCGTAATTTATTAAAGATATTTATTCCATCTTCACTTAATCACGAAATGAACGTCAAAGTGTTTATTGACAATAACCCTTCAAGAATTAAATCTCCTATGACAAATAATTGTTGGACCTTACATGATGAAATATTTCAAAAAATAGACTCTATATAACGTATAATCAGTTTCATAAATCACGATAGTTATACGAATTAAATTTTATAAAAAAATAATTTTCTAGTAATTAGTGCTCGGGTCGGGTCGGGTTTAAGGCATATTCGAACTCGAACTCGTTAATAATTACAGTGCCCGAATTCGTCTCGATCATTGTTCGACTCGGATTCAACTCGACCCGATTATTGTTTAATCCGGATTCGATTCGAATTTTAAAGGGCGATATTAATGCCGAAAATAAAGTGTCGTATAAAGTTTATTTATTTTTAAAATTTTTTATTATTTTTTTTTTTTTACCTGTAATTGTTTACGTCGCAATGCTTTCGTTTTCTAGAAGTTGTACTAGATTCAATCATTATTATTGTTTAAATCATCCGGGTCACTCGGGTCAAGCAACAACGTGACCCTGACCCAACGTGTTTCTTTGAATTAGGACCCGTGTCATTAAAATGATAGTCCCAACTCGAGTCGGGTGGGTCGGCTTTATCGGCTCGGAGCACTACTAGTAATCCATTGATATTAAAATTTAACCAAATATTTAAACAAAGGCGTTAGTAAATTAAATGAACCGAAATTATAAATTTCGTGTGCTTACAAGATAAAGGGTAAAATCACTTTTCTATGAATACTTTACGCACGTATGGTTATTAAATTCAGACTCATATTTCGTCCGTGATATGATGAAGATCATGAAAATCACTGATTCTTTTTTGAATTATGAGATAACAGCTTTATTTAATTTAATAAAAATATTTGTTAACCAAAGTATAACTGCATAAACTTTACTAACATCACGATTTCGGCGATGCAATTAGTGACCGTCATAATTTATAATAATTAAAATAATTAAAAATAAAAATATACGATTACATGTATAATATTTCCGTGATCTCATTTCTAATATCTTTGTAGTTCATGGTTTATATAAATAAAAAATATTAGCTGCGTACGCTTGCAAGGAAGGCTAGAACAATTCGGATTAACATTATTTCAATAGTAATGGAATCGTCTCTATACTCAGATTTCATAGACTTGATTTATTTTTGTTTAACAAAATTATTTGATTCTTTTTATTCTTAAAAAAATAATAATATATGATTGGAATTTGGTCATTAGGAATCCAAGTTAAAAAGATATCTTTTTGATTCAGCATTAAATTAAAACTATTTATTCGATTTATTCCTTCCGAATAAAATTTGAACTAAAAAATTGTTAACATTAATTATACAATACAATAAAAAAACGCTTGGATTTCTCTTTTTATTATTTAACAGGAGACAAAGTGAACATGATGCTTCAAAAGAAATGAATGGACAATTTTCTAGATTAATTTAAACCTATTATTGTTTTACATTTTTATTAATAATTTGAAACAAAACAAAATATAATAAAACCAACAAAATTGAAACAATGAAACTAACATTAAAATAAGCCTCCTTAAATCTTTTTATTGTATCCAACTTATCCTTCAGACGTGCAACTGTATTCGATTTAATGTCCTCCCCTGAAGGGGGTTCTGTCTTTCTGTCCCTTGACTTGAGGAGTAGCAGTAATTACAACACTGCCGAAGGTTAAAATAGCGATTACAAGGATTAAAGTAAGGTTTTTCATGATGGTTTTTATAATAATATATTAAATCAATGTATTATAATATATTTTTTTCTGAATGAAGTATGGTTGAAATCGCAAGTTCTTTGGACGCGTATTTATATGCAAGAGCAGAGTTACAATCTGAACCTCAATCAAGCTAAGCCCAAAACGTATTAAACCAATATAATTCATTTTTTGTTGTTTAGTCATAAGCTGAACCACAAAATCAAGCCAAGCCAAGCCAGGTTAATCTAAATATTTGTTGCATAATGGCTTGCGGTTGGGGCTGTGTCGGGCTGAGCCATAGGATTTCAACTGAAATTATAAAGAATTTTATTACCAAGTGGATTATCGTTAAAAAAAACACTAAGGTTGACTCTTTGGTTAAACAACAAATAATTATCAAATTTAAAGAGATTTAGGTGTTAATCAGGAAAATATAGACCTTAAAAACTAATATATATTGTACTCCAAGTAGTAACATGTTTTATAAATATTTTCACGGTACATTCAATCAAATCAATCTATTAATTAGAGAAATCGTATTGCGAGTAATCAAGATAAAAATATTTGTATTTAAAATTGTAAATCATGAGGCGGCAATTTTTCTCTTAAAGGGTACAAGTTCAGTTAATATCCTGGAAAATTACAGGTTAAAAATTTTTTTGTTTAAAAATGGCGGAGATATAAAAAGATAGATCAGGACCGAGTGAATCAATATCGGTCGGTTAAAGGCCTTTGACCGACCGGTTGACCGACCACGACGGCGACCGTTACCATCCCTAGTATAAAGTTTAAAATTCGTCCTAAACTTATTTTTTCCTTGCCTTTTTTAGATGAAAACTGAAATAGAATTCATTATTATAGAAAGGCGTAGTTTAGTATTAGTCCAATAAATCGACATGAAAGTCGACAGTACTTCCAAAGAAGTTTTTGGATATATCTTGGGGCTAGACTTATTACTACAGTTTTAATATAGATACACTTTTACACTTACTTGTCTTCATATAAGGATTGATAATGATAACTACACAAGTGAATCATAATAAATCAATTTATTTGTTTATCTTAGGAAAAGGCGTTCAAGTCATTTGAGTTATTAAGTTAGTTTGGTTAGGGTACAATTCCAGTCCCAACAACGAAAATTGGCATGATTGTATAACGAACAACTTGCGTTAATTAAAGAAAAATAATTAAAGCTAGTTTATGAAAATGATGAGAATTTAAAATTACATGTTTAGCATTATTAATAATTTCCGTTATAAATTTATTGATAATTCAACATTAAATTTGATGAATTAATGTACTAAATAATACAATTCAATGAAGCTGAATTCGAAACTGGCCAGGATAAGCTAATGAAACTATAGGGTAAAGTTTTGATGGTAGATCATTCCATTCTGATATCGCTGGATATTTTACACCATTGACAGTAAATGAACAGTTTCTTTTATTCATGTCTAAGTGAATAGTAATTTTGACATTATCACTCAGAAATGAAGGACAATAACCAGCGATCTGTAAGCAAGAATGATAAATTGAACCTTCGGAACCCAATACCCATCCAGTACGTTGAATACCTGCAAACTTTTCATAAACAAATTTTTCTGCTGCACACACTCCAACCCAAGCATATCCACAATACTTTTCAATAATGACGTCCATTCAAAAGTACCTTGATTTTCGAATGCCACCTTAGCTCTAACACTTTTGTGCATATTACAAGCAGCTGATGCTCGTACAACTTTCCCATTGTCTTCAATAATAAGATTTGATCCACACGCTGACTTATCCCAAACAAAGCCATTTTTGTTAGAAACTGGTAAATGTCCGCGAACTTCTTTCAAATATGTATTATATGACATTGCCCGATGTCGATAAACATTTAAAATCGTTTCAACTGGAATAATGTTTAATGGCTCAATGATATTAGCTAAAATTTGACTTTTAATTCGCCTGAAATCAATAAATTTTACAAAGGGTACTAATTCTTTAGCAACTTTATGATGATCCGGAATAGGCTTATCAATTTGCTTAAACTTATCCATGTGTTCTAGAGCTGGTAACCGGTTCAAAAGGGATTTGGTTGTATCGTTAGAAATCTCCCTTGCAACTAAAATGGCACTATATCGAAATACCTCATATTCTGGGGTTACAAAGGGTTTGTCCTTTTCATAAGTGCAAGATAAAAGAACCTTAAGTGCGGTACTAGATAACCGGCCAAATTCAATGGTATTTAGAGGAATAGCCGATACTGCGTCAACTAAGGTTAGAAAGAATATTATCTTTTGTCAATTGGATTGAATCAAGAAATTTAGATAACAATTCTGGTGAATAATTATCATTGCAATTCTTTTCTAAGGCATTTTTAACAGTCTTCATAATAAAATCTTGAAGGTCCGGCAGTTTAAAGTAGTCCGCAGCAATATAAGCGTCAATGATATTTTCTTTGGTTAAAGATTCCTCTTTAACAACTCCTGTATAAACATATTCCATTATAAATTCCATTCCTGAAGAATTAATCTTTGAAAAAGAAATTCGTTTCTCATAACTTTCTCCTCCTTTACTATAAATTAATTTGTCAAATACTTCGGATCTTGCAGCTAAAATCGCTCGACAACCATGTAATTTCTTTTCATCTTTGCATACAATCTCTATATCACTATATTTTGGGTTATTTATTAACAATCTCAAATCATGTTCTAACGAATACCCTTTTGTCATTTGAGCA